AGCAAGCTAAAAAGTTTCGGCGATTTACAGAATCTACAGGAAGCACAGAACCAGAATTTGCCAGTCCTGATGAAAAATTCCTTTTTCACCTAAGCCTTAAAAACAAGGAAATTCAACGGAGGAACTCGCGAGCCCTTTACAGTAATGTACTTATATACATTTTATATCGGCAGCCATTGTGAAACATCTATATAATTCTCAAAAATCCCTCTGAGACAGCTAAACTTGAAAAAAGCAAAACTATTTGGGACGAATGAGAATTAAAAGCTAAAATATGCTTGCTTTAGAAATGGCGAAACCAGCTGATGCGTCGGAAAAGGTGGTTTTCTTTTATCATCCGTATTGTATATTTGTCAAAAGTTAGTCTTTAATACAAAATCCAACTATAATTTTATCCTTGTTTAAAAATAACTGTAATTACGCTGCTCATAGCATTTGAGAAAGGAGAGAGAAGACGGAAATCGTGTAAGACTTGCTCCATCGGTCCACTGATAGTGTTGGGTTTCAAAGCAATTTTAAATATTTTCTGAAGAAAGTTACGACAGTAAGTCATGCCAATAAATCATTACGATCAGCAGTGGAGATTATCTGTCGAAAATTACAACGTATGAAATGAATTTGTAAGTTAAATGCCGCCTTCGTGAGCACCTAGAAAAGCTAAAGCAACTAAAGCAACGCGTATTCAATAGAAATTACGGTCGTGAAGAATTAGCAAAACACGCATTGATGTTCGATTTTAGACTGAACTTCATTCTTGTTCAAAAACAGTGTTGTACAACAATCTTGAAATGGACAGGCTACTGAACTGATGCTGGCCAGCTGTCAACCGGCAGAGCGATACTAGATCACAACAGAATTACTGTGTTTTAGGGCACGTTAGCCTATCTAGTTTTTTTTTTTTTTTTCAGTTGATTGCCATTTATAGTTGGATGAAGTCTGGAAAGCTACGGCGTTTGAAGCTGTTGTGTGAAAGTAAGTCAGAAAAAAAATGCGACATAAAAGAGAGGGACTGCAGTATGAAATACAGTTGATGTGAAACTTTGTCGACATTGAGTATTCAATCATTTTTAGGAAAGTAAATGAATTTTCCAAAAAAATCTTTTATTTTACGAGCAATTTCCTCACTGATGAAACTTTTCTCACCAACATCGATCTTAATTCCACGTGACAATTTTTCGTCCTGATTCTATGGCGATTTCTAATTTAGTAGTGTGCTATAGCTATGAATATGTTGGGGGTCTTATGGAATTTCTGGGTAAACTTGCTTTGATGGAGAATGTCAACAAAAATATGTTAACAGGCTGCAGTTGTTTAAGCAACAGACAAATATTTGACATTATCAATGAAGCAACTCAATATGATAAGATTTGTAGTTGTTATCATTTCAGACTGCTGAGATCGATGATGAAAGTGGCATCAGTGATGAACAAAAAAAGGTAAAGTTTCTGCCAGAACTGGCAAAAAAAATTTTTTTCATGGGAAAACTGTCGATTAATTAAAAGATTTCTAAACGGGAAAACAGTCTTCGTAACTAACAGTCTTCACCCACTGATATCTTTTATGCTAAAGGGACTTTTCTTGTCAGTGTAGCAAAAAGTATATTAAACAAGCACGGTAACAGCACTGGAACATCTTAGGTGTTCGCCTAACACAGGTAAAGTACGAGGAAAAATATGTTTGCCAGTAAAACAAAAAATCGTCATATTTAGATATCTGTATTCTGTACGACGCTTTAAAAATGACCTCAATTTTTTTTGTT